CAAAATGACATTTTAATTCATACAGTTTTAATATCTTATTTCATTTGTAAATAATCAGTTACATGTTGAATAAAACATTGGATTTTTCTTTACATCGTCGTTCAAAAGGTATATTTTTATAGCCTCATATTGATAATCGTATATACGTAAATACTCTGAAATATACTTATCTTTACACCTGTCTAAACGTCTCAATGACAGGTCAATCGTTAATCTGCTTACGCTTGTTTCTCAACTATTAATACACTATAACTTCCACTTCTTTATAAATATGGGGTTTAGTTTAGTTCAATGAGGCATTACTATAGTACAGGGAGGTCTGACAGTTGAAGGGCTATCTACTCTTCAACTGCCAGACTATAGAGAGAGAGAGAACGAAGGCAGCTAGCTAGTCAACAGTGCCTACAGCCAAATCTTGGGGTTATTTTTGTCTGACCAAGTATTGGGATTTAACAAATACTCTTATAGCGCATCAAACCCCACAGTGCGGAGGATTTTATCGGCAATAAGACACGAACCATGAGTCCTAGGATTCATAGTCGGAGCAAGCTTAGGCCTAGCATGGCCAGGTGGTTAGGGCGCTTGACTCGCAATCTGAGGCTCGCGGGTTCGAATCCCCGTCCCACCAAACATGCTCGCCCTTTCGGCCGTGGGAGCGTTATATGTTACGGTCAATCCGACTTTTCGTTGGTAGAAGAGCAGCCCAAGAGTTGGCGGTGGGTTGTGATGACTAGCTGACTTCCCTCTAGTTGATCACTGCTGAATTAGGGACGGCTAGAACAGATAGCCCTCGTGTAGCTTTGCGCGAAATTCAAAACAAATCGAACACAAACACACGTGTTTACATTTTAAAACTTTTAATTGTTTTTGGGTTTTAAAAGTTAAACGTAGCTTCATTAAATATTCATTTACCTAAATTCGATGATATATCAAGACATCACGAATAAACAAGCAAGCAAGCAGCACATCGAAGTCAAACAAATAGAAAGAATTCTAAATGTGGGTGGGAACGGGTGCGACAAATTAAAAAACGTGTGATTTTATGTAATACACGTGTATCATTTCTTCTTCCCGACTTAGTTTCCACACTGTAGTTAGCACTATATCCTGGGGCGAAAAATATGAAACAAGCAAGCGCAAATCACGTGTTTACTGAGAGAAAGATGTTGACATTGAGTATTCGATTGTATACGAATTATTGAAAACTCCGTCCAAATGTGTTTAAATGTAGAATAAATGTGATTTTCGTCACTTCGTCCTTCTCCACATAGCATTAGATATGTAATGGGTCGTCACTCTCAGGAGAAAATCTCAGGACTTCTGAGACGAACAATCAAACCCCCCAGTGGCACAGCGGCATGTCTGCAGACTTACAACGCTAGAAATAGGGTTGCGATACCGGACCACCTGCCCCCCCCCCCTCCAGTGGTACAGCGACATGCCTGCAGACTTACAACGCAAGAAATAGGGTTGCGATACCCGTGGTGGGCATAGCACAGATAGCCCATTGTGTAGCTTTGTGCTTAACTTCAAACAACAACAACTGGATCACCTATTTGTTCAATCTAAGAAAGTGCCTGTCTCCACGAGGAGTATAAACTGTTTAGAGCACTTTCGTCAAAGTGTTCATCGTATTTAAAGTCGAACTAAGTATCTAAGTTGTATTTATCATTCAATGTACGTGCAAACTGTTACTTTTCAATATGGTGTTTCGTCTTAATTATTTTGAACTTTATTTCTTAGCGGCACGACCTTTAAGAAAACCTTGATTTCACTATAATGCCATTGTTGTCATACAATATTTATGTATCTTCTGTTATTCTACCTGTGATTGTTTATATTTGTCTCCTCTGTCTCGTCCCCCTATTAGAAGTGTGTATTTTATCTGTTTGTATGTTTGTCTGTCTGTCTATCTAACAATTATAGTCTGTTCATGAAGAAAGATCGTCTGTCTGGACGTCTATCTGTCTAACAATTATAGTCTGTTCAGGAAGAAAGGTCGTCTGTCTGTCCGTCTATCTATCTAACAATTATAGTCTGTTCAGGGAGAAAGGTCGTCTGTCTGTCCGTCTATCTATCTAACAATTATAGTCTGTTCAGGAAGAAAGGTCGTCTGTCTGTCCGTGTATCTATCTAACAATTATAGTCTGTTCAGGGAGAAAGGTCGTCTGTCTGTCCATCTATCTATCTAACAATTATAGTCTGTTCAGGGAGAAAGGTCGTCTGTCTGTCCATCTATCTATCTAACAGTTATAGTCTGTTCATGAAGAAAGGTCGTCTGTCTGTCCGTCTATCTATCTAACAATAATAGTCTGTTCATGAAGAAAGATCGTCTGTCTGTCCGTCTATCTATCTAACAATAATAGTCTGTTCATGAAGAAAGATCGTCTGTCTGTCCGTCTATCTTGTCTAACAATTATAGTCTGTTCAGGAAGAAAGGTCGTCTGTCTGTCCGCCTATCTATCTACTGTGCCCACCACGAGTAATCGAAATCAAGCTTCTGGCGTTGTAAGTCCGAAGACTTACCGTTGTTCCAGTAGGGGTTGTAAGAACAATGGAAATTGAAAAATGTTCACAACTTTCCTTTAAAAAGTAAAGTTAATGTCAAATCTGCATGTATAGAATGAATCACAATAGATACAAATTTAAATCTAATTGTATGTGTATATACATATAATTGG